CCCGTGGACAACAGTTGCCCAAGCTTGTTGGGCGGAATTCCCCTTTAAAGTATGTTTTAGGTCTCCTTAATATCAGTGGAGCCTAAAAGCGTGAAGAACAGCAAGTTCGGCACCCCTTTTCGCCCAAGGGACGTCTTGGAGAGATTCTGAAAGGCCTCCAGCTTGCTTTCCAAACTCACCTTGGGCCAAGGGCCCCCGCAAAGAAGTGCAGCCGTAGGTTCCAGAATGTTCCAGAAACTAAATTTATATAGTTAATAAATTACAGTAATTTCAAGACTCAGGGCTACTGTGCATGCTGCTCTCCAAGTGCATGGTATGTGAGACTGAAAAAGAAGCACATTTCAAATGCTACAAACAAATCAAGCCTCACAGCATGACCCCTTCGTAAGCTGTCTTGCATGAAGTTGCTCCGTACTGTACCAACTACTTGGCCTTATAGAGTGCATCCTGAGATATCATGAGCTTGTCATGGTAGCTTTGCTGATTCGAACCCAACAGACTCGTCCCACACATAAAAAGCGCGTGACCCTGGGTCCGCGTGGGACCGCATGGGGCGGTTCCCAAAAAGGGTGATCTCATCTCGTTCGTCAAGGCAGACCGGGACTGCGGATGCCCAGTGCACGGACTGCGGCGCACCCACGGACTACTCCGGCGCACCCTCATCTGGGACTCATCCGCCAGACTGCGATTCACATGGCGCCGAAGACTTTCGTTGTCTTCCTGGCCAGCTGCGCGAGCCCAGCTGCGGGTCCGAAGGTCTCCGAAGAGGACGAAGATCTGAATCGTGAAACTCAACTACAAGCCATCTTGGATAAGAAGCTACTAGTAGCAAGGGCATTGCTACTAGTAACAAGAAGCTACTAGTAGCAGGATGTCGGATGATGGCTAAAGCGCCAACCTGAAACCATCGACAGTGTTTCTTGAAATGGCGGGTGCCCAATCCCTTCTTATAGGTGAACATTCTGAAGCATCAGCCATCTCTGGACTACACCACTGTACCCAACCCTTAAAAAAGTCCTGTAACCGCGCGATGAAACTCCAGGCTTGGCCTTGCGAGAGTTCTGCTCACGTTCCAGGTCGCCACGGAGTTGAGAAAGCTCATCCTTGAAGCCATTCAAACCTCACCAACTCGAGCCACCAATGGTGGCTTCCTGAATTCTGGGGAATTCTGAGCCCCTTTGCTATCTGGTTGATGAGGTGGCACGTGACACGAATTTCCTATCAGTGAACATGTGCCGCATCATGTGCCGTGTCGCAGTGTTCTGGGGCTTTCCATAGCAGCCTTCACGTGGTGGCACTCAGTGCCACCACTCAGTTCTCTCTACAGAACCCTATATACTATCCATGACTATCACACCAGTCATTATTCTCTGGCTGTCACGTCGCTGAGCTCCCCGGACAGGATTGCAGCCCGGTGATCTCATGCCTTGGTAGCGTGAAAGCTGAGGACTCCAGGTGTCTTGGGAGCTTTCTCCACGACCGATGACCTGTCAAGCAGGTGTTTGTGACCCATGTAGACGTGTTTGTGACCCATGTAGACATGTCCGCTTGGAAGCGCTGACAGCTTCGTGGAACAGAAACTATATATACTGCAGGAACCTGCAGAAGGTCCAAATTCTGAAAGCATCTGAAAACAAACCAAAGGTTGGCTCTTGCCCAACAACCATTGTTTTACGAAGGAGTTTAGACTACAAAACCACGTCAGCCATTTATCTAATATTCTTGCACGCCCAGTAAGTCCAAAGGACAGGTGCAAAACAAGCACGTTCAAGCAAAGGCCACACTTCACCCTATATCATGATATAGTACATGATATTACATCAGATCATTATATGGGGTTTATCACTAGTTCTTACAGGTTTGTCGAACTAGTTCTTGCAGGTTTGTCACTGCCTTTCACGGCCTTTTCACGGCCTTTTCACAGGTCGTTCACGGCCGTTTCAAGCTTCCAGTTCCCCCAATTTTGTCAAAGCACCAGTTCAACTGGTGCGTTACTGGTGCGCACCAGTTCCACTGTCAAACATGGCCGAGTCCCAAGGTTTGGCGAAACCAGCACGAGAGGGCCGGTTCAACTGGCACGAAGACCTACTGGGAAGGACCACCCCAGTGCTCAGTGGTCACACATCTCCTGGAGGTCCAACTCGCCTATCGCTCTTGGCACAACCATCAGCTTAAACAAACATGGACCTAATCAACGCACGAGCGGAGCCTCTCATGGTCTCCAAACGGGGTGTACCAAAAAACAGCGCTCCTGAAAATACGAAAGGCAACAAAAAAAAAATGATTGTTTTCCATAGTCTTTGCCAAAAAACTCGATGAACAACGACCTCACAGAATCAACAACGGTCACCTTCAGGTGAGTGTTGCTTGACCATGCCCAGAAATGTCCTATCACATTCACTAAAACCAATCTAATTGAAATATTGGAGATCACACAACACAAACACAACACCTGCGTTGTTTGTGTTGTGCTCCTGCTTTGAAAACAGCACCTGCTTCCACATCTGCCGAGTCACAGGGTCTCCCGCACAAAGGCGAAACCGCTGGAGGCCTCCTGCGGCGCGCGCTTTGCCCGCGCAAACGGGCGCGGGCCCAAGGGCCCCGGTCCGGGTGGCCTCTGGTGCAACGGTCCGGTATCCAATTCCGGAGAGTCAGAGTTAGTGTACGTTCACCTATAGAAGTCCATGTCGACTAGACTACTTGACAGTGTTTAAGAAGTGACTCTACTTGGGTCACCTAAAGACCATTTTAAAGACAGTCTGACTGGTCCTTAGTAGGGAATAAGGGAATGAGCCCCCAATAGAGATTCTATTGGATCCATTCCCTCATTCCCTGCTAAGCACCAGTCAGCAGTCTTGAGTCTTGACTTTTAGGGAGTCCAAGTCCTATATAGGAGATATTGTCCATGTCGACCTTTACGACGGTGTTTGCATCGGTCATTCGACTGCAACGATAGCAATACAACGAGCAGTGAATGAGCCGTTCTTCTTCGTCCACACGGGGTCCCGCAAAACTGGGGTCCCGCACGTTGTCCACCATTGTGAAAGTTTTCGGTTTCTGTCTAGGCAGCATCGTATGTTGATCATTCACTGCCCTGGTCAACAACCTTTGACCAAACCACGATTTGCCGCAAAAATAAATTGAATACAAAGCAACAGCGACTTCAATTCATATTGACAAAACAAAAACAAGCATTGAATGAAGAAGAACAAACTCCAACTCCAACCCTATAGAACAAGGAAAACATCCCAGAAAACCACAAAAGTCTTCCGAAGAACCAAAAAGTCCCGGAAAGCAAATGATAGGCCATTTGAGCGAGTCTTGTTGGCCTCTCTCTTGGCGCTCTCCTGATGGTCTTGTGACTCCGCTACAGGGACCACTGGGAGACCTCAGTCATTCAATCAAGGGGCGTCCCCTCAATCACTGTGCCATAGCCAAACGGCGACTCCATTTAGAGTGAACCAAATTATGTATATATTATTATATAGCATATATTATAGCGTTAAAAGAACTGGTGTTGCCCATTTGCCAACCTGTTTTTGAGCCACGGCCATGGCAAAGTCTCATATGATCCTTTGAATCCTTTCACCTTGAGAACTTGGAACTCTCGCCGTCTTCGACCTTCGATCAGAAGCTGAAACATTCTTCTGCGCCTGTCAAGTTAGTGGGGCGCCAACAACCCCCGAAAACAACGAGGACGTCCCTCGGTCCTTTTGACGAAGTCTCTCTCCGCTCGTCCGCCCTGCCCAGCCATCCCAGTCCGAGGTCACCACTTTGATCCATCGGTCGCCGGTTGAGCTGGGACCCGCGGCGCCTTGAGCCTTTTTGGGACGTGCTGCGGCGCAGGTCGGTCAGGTCCGAGGTACTAGCACGAAAAGATCAGGTTCATATATATCTAGTCAGGACTTCTCAGTTGTAGGACAGCTCTTTCAGAAAGGCAGGCACATTTTGGAAAGACCGTCTGCAACAGTGGTTTGATCAAGAACAGCATGGCATGACAGCTGCTTCGCAGCTGACATGTTCGGAAGAGATGCTCTCTTGACCAAAAACCTGCGCATTCGCCCCAGCTTTGGAAGCCACTCTGGATCTATATAGGCACAGGATTGTCACAGGATCTTTGCCAGGCTACTCTCTTGATTACTAACCTAGTGGAAGCCATAATCATACACTTCCTGAAATAGTGGAAGTGGATGGCATGGCCCCTTGGATAACCATATTCCTCCACAAACACCTGATTTTCCACTTCCCTGTGACGTCTTGGAGACGGAAAACGTGACGAAAGCACGTCGCATCGGTCGCACTCAGAAGGTCTCAATTCTGCTGCACCGACATGGTGTGTTCAAGTGTTTTTCATGTTCGCTTGTTGCTCGCGGCTTGGGAGGTTCTGTTCACCTCCCAACACCCACCGCTACTTCCATGTGAAGGTCAGCCAGTCGTGCTGCAAAGTGCTGCTACTTGAGGCTGGTGTAGCAAAGCTATCGGCTTTTGTTGGTCTTTTGCTGCTACTGCTTACTGCTGGCTTCGCCTGGCTGTTGCCAAGGCCAGCTCGGCCAGCTGACGCTGCAGCTTCGTGTCATGGAGCCAAGGTTGGAAGGTCAGCTCCAGTTGGAAGATGCAGAGCTCATGTTGGAAGATGTGATGAAATCCGTCCATTCATCCACATCGATCCACATCGTTCAGCTCCCTTGGACCGGCCAGTGTCTACAGTTGATCGCATCTCAGGGATTCAGGGGCGAAGCAAATGGCCAATCTGGTTCACCAAGTTTTACTCCAAGTCATGAGGCTGCACCACCCCCACGGCTGCATCTTCTTACGCTCAAGCGTCTGACCAAGTTTTACAGTGGTATCGGTCGTCTCCGCAGTGAAGAACAAATCGTTTCTGGTGCTCCATCTCTTCAGTTGACAAGTGCTTGCTTCAGCAATCAGTTCCAAGGACATCTTCTGCATCGACTCATCCGTCCGTTTCTATTCGGACGCCTTCTCCGAATGACTTCGGTCGCTCAGTCGGTGAGTTCGGTGTCGTCCAGTGAACGTAGAAGTTGAGAAGCGAGTTCCCAACAATTGCTGGGCCTTCAAGCGAAGATACACCAGTCACACACGACTCGCTCAGATGAGTTTTTTTGGGGGGGAATCCTTGCAATTTGCTTCAATGTTTTTGTATTCAACCACTCAATCTAACAGTGAAAGCGAAGCAAAAGAAAAAGGCCCTCAGGGCACCCCAAAAAACAACTCAAGCACTTTCCTCAATCAGTTGATCTGCATACCATGATTGATTCCCTAAGGATCCAAGTACCTTCTCAGAACGTGATGTGTTCGACACTTGTAGGTTTGGAGGGACCGGTCCAGGTACCTTCTGCGAAGGCACGACTGGATCGCTAGGGATTGTAATCATGCCCCCGTCCAGACCGAGAAGTCGACGTGATTTCAGACTTTGTCCAGCCCTAGGTGCTCTAGCATGGAGAAGTGATTGCCAGTGGTCCAGGACATCGACCAGGTGGTTGAAGTCCCAGACATCATCTTCTCCACATCCTCAAATCACTCCACTCCAGCTGCCAGCTGAGTCTTTCGTCTGCTTCAGGGGTCCGTTTCGGGAAGCGGGCCATGTCTATAGATCTAAAAACCTCAACGGCGCAAGTGAAAAAAACAAATTATATCAGCATAGCATAAACCCCAAACAGTTTGTGCCTTTGTGAAGCAAGCCACAGATACGAACTGTCAAACAGTCAGCGGCTCAAACCGTTCCAGCTCGCGGTGATCAACTCGGACCTTCTGGGTTTGTTTCAGCGCTTGGCTCAGTTGGCTCAAGGTCAGGACTGACAATTCAGAAAGCTCTCAACCCACCGTGAACTTATGTGAGGTGGGACAAGCAGGGAGACAAGAAGGGAGACAAGTGAAACAGGAGGGGAGACAAGCAGGGAGACAAGTGGCAGAAAGATCAGCAGGGAGACAAGTATAATCATCCAGCCGAGAGTATCCAAGCAGGGAGACCAGCAATCACACAAGTGGAAACAAGTGCATCCGGCCAAGGCCAGGAGTATCTGACCAGGCGACAAACAACTCCGGCCAAGTGTATCCAGAGTAGTCTGAGGCAAGTGGAGACAAGTGTGGAACATCCGGCCAAGCGTATCCAGAGCAGGCCGAGACAGGTGGAGACAAGAGTAACAAGCAGAGAGATTCACAAGTGTAAAACCGTCCGGCCGAGAGTATCGAAGCAGGGAGACAAGCAACGCAAGTGTAAAAACATCCGCCAAGTGTATTTAGAGTAGGCTGAGACGTGGAGACAAGTGTAACAAGAAGGGAGACAAGCAGGGAGACAAGTGGCTGACAAGTGCAATATCATCCGGCCAAGAATATCTAGAATCGTGCGACCAGAGCACCCAAAGTATACTGGGAGAGAAGGGAAACAAGTAGGAGACAAGTGTAAAATCGCGCGGCCCAAAGCATCCAGGGTGCACCGGAGACAAGGGAGACAAGTGGAAAGCAACTGTAAAATCATGCGGAGTGTATTGGAGACAAGGAAGACAAGGGAGACAAGTGCAAAATCATGCGGCCAAAGCAACCGCAGTGTGGCAGAAACACAAGCCCGGAGACAAATGTAAAATCATGCGGCCCGGGCACGCAACCCTTTCAAAGGAGTAAGAACCCCTGACAGGTAAACCTGTTTGGAGAAAAACATGTTTTGGGTGGAAATTCACTTGACGACAAAACAGTCGGACCCTATAAGATTTCTTCAAGCACATCGAAAACCGTCAAATCACAACAACCTCAGAAAAGGAGGCCTCTTAAAAAAGGAGACCCTTTCAATTTGACAATTTAACGATATACTTAAAATATAGACCCTAAGACCCTAAGATCTCTATAAGGAAGGCTTTGGCCATTCTTCCCAGGCTCCAGGCAACGCTCCTGGCGCGACATCGATGGACAGTCCGACGCCAGCACCACATGGATGGATCTTGCGAGGGACGTGCCGTGCAGGACCGCAGGGAGCGTCAAATTGCGAGACCTCGAAGCGGAGAAAGGTTTGTTGTTGTGATTCTTTTATTGGTTGGGCTGGTTGGCTGGCTGGCTGGTTGGTTGGTTGGTTGGTTGGTTGGTGTGATGTCATTTTTATGTATGGGGAGACCCCCCGGCCTAAGGGGTGGACTGATCTATATATTTCCTTCTTCCAAGGGGGGCGTTGCCTGCAAGGTCTCTCCGTCAAGGATTTGGGGGGTCCACCTCATGGAAATTAGGCACGGGGCTCAGAACGCTGATTTCTCGGCTGTTCCCTTTTTCCCCATCCCGCCCATCCCCATCTCCTCGGTGTTCCATCCGAACTGTTCGTGCAGAGAGAGAGAGAGAGAAAAAAAAAAGTCTGGGGCATGGAATTTGTTTGACTGCAGTTAGGGTCTAAGGACTTCAAAAAGTTTCTCGGCCGAGGAAGTTCCAGGTCGACCTTCGTGCAGACGGCAGAATCACCACATCCAACAAATGGTGTCACCCTCCGTTGGGAAACATCAAAAAAATCTCGGTATATGTGGTGAAACCTCACTAGTCATCGGAGGAACTCTTGGTAGTATGTCACTTTGTGTCCGATTGAAGACTGGATAGAGCACATCTGACCTCGGAATTGCGTTTGAAAAGGACCAAACCCATGGAACTGTGAGATCTAGAGTTACACCCCCCATTGTGAGATCTAGAGTTACCCCACCGAACATTAAAATGTTTCCAATGTTAATATCATGTGCCCTAAGAATCTGGGCCCTCAAACACAGGGTTTGGTTCGGGTCCGGACCCCTGCGTTTCGATGTCGAGTCCAACCCTTCCGTTGGTGGAGGGCCCACGAATCCTTCGTGGGGTAAATACAAGAAAACACAACAAAAAACCCAGGACATCACAGCACATGTCAATTAATTAAAACGGTCCCAATGCTCCAAGCCACCGGGACTCGGCCACTCGACCAAGGCGCTGGGCGTTTCGCGGGCCTAGGACCTGTGACAGGTGAATCCAAGCCTGCTTGTGTGGGGAACAGGGGCAACAGAAGCATGTAACTACCTTCGTGCTTTTGGATGGCTTGTGAGTTATGATTGATTTTTATGGGCCAATTTGGATGGTTTTTCCCCACCTGTTAGGTGAGGGTTGTTAGATTTTATGTCCATCTCCTCCCTCTTCTTCTCCTTCTTCTCCTTCTCCTCCTCCACCTCCTCTGCCGGACCTCAACCATGACCATCCACGCCCAGTGTTCCCTGCCGGACCTCAACTACGACCATCCACGCCCAGTGTTCCCTGCCGGACCTCAACCATCCACGTCCAGTGTTCCCTGCCAGACCTCAACCACGACCGTCCACGCGCAGTGTTGACCTCAACCACGACCATCCACGCCCAATGTTCCCTGCCGGACCTCAACCGCGAGCTCCAGACCCAAGTGTTCCCTGCCGGACCTCAACCACGACCATCCACGTCCAGCCTGCCGGCCCTCAACTGCGAGCTCCAGGCCCAAGTGTTCCCTGCCGGACCTCAACCAGAGCACACAACCACAATCACAAACACATAACCACAAACACAACAACCACAAACACAACAACAAGCACACAACCACAAACACACAACCACAAACACAACAACAAGCACACAACCACAAACACACAATCACAAACACAACCACAAACACAACAACAAGCACACAACCACGAACACACAACCACAAACACACAATCACAAAGGCACAACCACAACCACAACTACAAACACACAATCACAAAGACACAACCACAACCACAACTACACAATCACAACCACTACCAGTACCACAAACCCAATCACAAACACACAGCCACAAACACAACCACAAACACAATCACAAACACACAGCCACAAACACAACCGCAAACACATCCACAAACACACAATCACAAACACACAGCCACAAACACACAATCACAAACATAACCAAAACCACAACACGGCACACAACCACAACCACAAATGATTGAAATGTCATGGTGGGGATCACTCGAAGTAGAGTAATTTGATGGACAATCCTAGGCAAACAGGAGTTTCATCCTGCAAGTGGCGTCTGTGATGTCTGGAGGATCCTATCACATCAGAGTGTGACATGTGAGGTGATGGGATCCTCAGCGTCGTGACGCTTTGGTGATAAACCGTCATTGCAAAAGTCTGTGAGAAACCGTCGCAAATCAGCCAAGCCTTACTAGGAGCAAGAAGCTACTAGGGGCTCCTGGCCGCTTCTTTTTGGTGTTTGCTCACCCCGAAAGGAACAACAGGTGCTCATCGCCTTCCCCCCCCCAGTCAGCTATGATCAAACTCAACGTGAGGCCATCTCCAACTCAAGAATCAAGCCACAGAAGCCACTGTTTTGATGATAATTGCAACCCTCCATATGAAAAAGAATATGTTTAACACAGATGTTTGTTTCAAGGAGTGACATACAGCTTCTAGCTTCTTGTTCCTAGTAGCGATGGCCTCCAACTTACTTACAATGGCCTCCACCAACAAACGCATCCGAACATGTCCGAACGCTCCGTTCGTAGCGATGCCCTTTGTTACTATCAAGAGTCTACGTCATACGCACTTCACCAGCCTTTTCCAAAACATCCACATCTCCAGCCCGGACAGCTGGAAGCAATGCCTGGTCGGACGGGGGCGTCTTCACGGGACGCCGAGACGCTTGCATCGGGTGAATCGGACAAGTTGCTGATGATTCACCTCAAGTGGTCCATGTGTTTTGAGAACTGGACCTTTCAGGTCACCCCCAACGGTCCACTTCTTGTTCAGTTGCTTGAGGGCGTTCCACAACGTGCATCGATTTTTGTTTGGTCACCTTTCATCATGTCAGTTCGAAGCAGCTTGACCTTGCTGAGTCCACAATTGGAAACCAGAACTGGGCTTCTTCAAGCAATTCTCAAACCTTGTACATATTGTTGTTCCGAGTCACTGATGAAGAATGGACCGGGTCCTCTTCAAGGCCTCTTCATTTGAACCAGCCATAACTGCCAACTCCAAGCGGGTTCCTCTAGCAAATGACCGCTTTTTTCAGCCTCAACACCAATCAGACACATCTGACCTCTGACGCGCGGCAGCTCATCGACCGGTCCCCTTGTCACCTCTGAAGTCGACTGTTTCAGACGACCACGCCCTCACCTGCAGGTCTGGAGCACTTCCGGTCAAACGCAGCAAGGACTCCATCATCTCCATCGTCTGGGGGCGCCCGCCGAACACGAGCCGTAGAGCCGGACCGGACACCAGGAACGACTGGCCGATCGGGTCCGGAGGTTGCGGAGGGTCCTTGGGGATGAAAGCTGAAAGCATAGAGTCCTTGCGGTGTCTCGGTTTAAGGCCCAGAAAACCTGCAAACCTGCTCAGCCAAGAGTTTCAGAATCCATGCACCACTATATCAACGTCAAACATGCAAGCTGCAAGCCACCCCAATTGCAACCATCAGCCATAGAATGTGGGAAAACACCCTAAGAAGCACCTAAAAAAACCTTTGCTGTTCATATCCAGTATTGGTCGAGTCGTCTACGAGTTTGACAAGCAACCTTTTCATACCAGTTGAATGGTTTTGTCTGATTCTCAAAAAGGGAAGACTTCGATGGTTTCCAAGCTCATGATGAGCGTATTCACCCGTCACTCTATTTTGGGGGCTAGAAGCGGACATATATTTTTGTGCACGTTTGAGGTCTGCTTTCCTGCTGTATCTCAACCTCTCACCATCGGTGTTTCCATGTTTCCCAGCCTCGTGCCCCCGCGGTTGGCTCGACCGCGCTTGCGCTGCTTGCGGTTGCGTGTGAGCAAAGTGCTGATGGGAGGGATCCAGAAGCCAAAGTGCCTGGAAACTTGAACAAAGGACGGAAAGCACAGAAAGCACTCTTTCATGACACAGGCAATCTCCCCACTCTTAGTGAGTTAACAAGGCCGGTGGCACTTACTCTTCTGAAAACCTTCTAAGACCAGGATTTGATGCCTACGTATCTCTGCAGAGTTTGCCGCATGTTTCATTTGGAGCTCTTCCACATGGGGTCCGGCCTTCTTCCTCCTATACCTACAGAATAAAGGATGCGCCAACTAAATGGCCTATTCGGTTGTGCTGCCAACGGTTTTCTTTTTTGGTGTAGGTCTAAAGAGGTCAGTGAAGAGTAGCACACCGCTGGGTGACGGTTTAACTCTTGCTTTCACCACCTACTACTTATTCTATTTGGTGCTTAACCATGTGCAAAGAGGGATCGCTCTGGGCCCCTGGTGATCCAGAATCAACGCCAACCTCTCCGTGAAAGTTCATAGAGCCAGGAGGGTACAAAATATGTTGGTGGCACCAAAAGTAGAAATCATGGCAGGAAGTCAATTGATCACCAATTGGTTTTTGGATGTTTTTTGGGGTGTGTTTGAATTTGAGCCAAACGCACGCTCTGCCAACTACAACTGCTTCTCATGAGTGGTTCAGTTGGGGATCTTCAGGAAATAATGTGGATTCTCTCCTTGCTTTGAGAGGCCCGCCACTGCGCCGACCCCAATCATTCTGCACCGCTGGGAGAGTTTTCTGCAGGTCTGTTCTCGGTCCGCCTCCCCCAGAATCCGAGGTTTTTCGGGCCTCCACAGGCTCCAGCTCTGCCATCTCACACGCCAAAGCGCAGCCCCAGGAGTGGCCCAGCAAGATCCGACTGGCGAAGACACCGGTGGTCGACTCCCGGTCGCCGACCCCCGGTCGGCGTCAGTGAACGTCGGTCTGAATGTGAAGATCGGATCTGGAGACCAATCCATGGGCCATGACATGAAGTCCATTTATAAACCAATGAATCTTTGCAAAGTTGGGTTGAAAGTCGCCAAACGTCTCACAAAGCTCCAATGCTGTGTTCGTTCACCACATCTTGTGTGCCCGGGAAGCCAAAATGGGAGACTACTTTCCAAAGACATCTCCCCCGCTCCGCTCCGTAGAGAGAAAAGACATCAACACACCGACGAAGGCTGAGGTCCCTCCTGCCAGATCGCTCACCGGCGCAGTTCCAAAGCTCCTTGGCCAGGGTCTTGAGACTTCCAGCTTCCACACTCAGAAGGCCATCCACCACACGAGTCCGGCAGACCTCGACCGCGCCAAGGAAAGGTGGTGGGGAACAAGGCGAGACGGTGATCTCGGGTGGGGTGGGGTGTTGTGGGGTGGGGGTCATGCTTTCTCGTGGTGCAGGTTCAAGACACCTGACTCTGTCCTGAAGGTGGTTGGATTCCATATCCATGTTGAAACCCTTGATGCGACATTCTCCTCCCACAGCAATCCACTTTTTTCACGGCCATAGCCACTTTCGGCGATACCTTTAGTGGCCGTTGGCCCTACACCTACTGTGTAATGATCTGCGTGCACAGGGAAATTTGAGAATATAACCGGGGGAAGTGACATGTGTCACTGGGTCATGCTTGGTGAGAAACGAAGAATAGAAGAAACGTACCTAAACTGTACAACCTTTACAACTGCGTGCCTACTGTTGAAATTAAGGGGTGCTAAATCAGGTTCCCCTCCAATTGCAACTGTCTGCCTTCAGCTGCCAACATGACTTGCCTAGTTCAAGCAGGTGCTTGAGGGTCACTACCTGCAACTTCAAGCTGAGCCCTGAAAACATGGTCCTCGTAACATGGTCCTTTACCTAGGTGCTTGCTCCTGGTAGCGATGCCAGGAGCTACTAGTCGCCTCCTTGCTCCTAGGAATCCAAGCTGAAGACTTCACACCTGCCCGTGTCCCAGCTGCATGGTTCAGGGCCAAAGCCAATGGCCGATAGCCTTCCAAACCGACGCCACCATCGCCCGGGCAAAGGAGGAGCTCCCAAGGTTGCTCGCCTAAGCTGACTGAAGCAGTGCAAAGGAACCTCTATGGAATGTACGATACCAGGCCATATTCAGGGTGCTTTGTCCATGAGAAGTGATTCACCGGAAGTTCTCCTAGCTGCCACTGCTACGGGGAGATATCTTGCGGAATGCCCAATCTGGCAAGAGATGGGCTTGTTGTCTCCAAATAAGGGGATCCCCAACCAATGGCCAATGTACCAATGAACGTTAATGTTCATCTCCTTGGCGCGCCAGCGAACGCTGGGGCATGTTCACTGCGTTCTCACCAGAGGCATCCAGAGGTGCAGGCTTCTCTCCACCCCTATTCTTTAAACGACCTCCAACGACGACCTCCACTGCCGAATGGCCCAACGACGACCTCCCTCTTTCGACGGGGCACCATGGAGATCCGATCCCAACAGCCGGAACTCCAGGGCAGTCCTTCCCAACAAGAGCTCCAAGCCCTCTTCGATCGGATCCAGACCGTCACCTGCATGTTTTCGGATCCGGACGGAAAAAGGTGGACAACCACGGTTGGTTGGAGGTGTGAAGTTGGAATCAAACCATGACAGGGGAGGGGGGTTTTCAAGTGTTTTCCAGAATCGTCAACCTGAATGGGGTCTCCCTGTCTGGCTGTCGATGGCTGGCGTCGATCCGTTCCTCCGGAGAGCAGGTCTTCACGGCATCGCTGGTGACGAAAGTAACACCAAATGCGTGGAACGATGGGCGGTGTGGTGCTGGTGATGCAGCCTTTGCCCAGGTGTAGCAGCATATAAATGGTGTTTCAAATTTGCGCTGAGGGAAAGGACATGAAGACTTAACAAGCTCCAATGTTCTGCCATCGTTGGGACATCAATTCCAGGGTCCTGTTCCGTGCCAAGACTGCCACACATTGGCCTGGCTCGATGGCATCTTCCACTGTGCCATCGCCCAGCAGTCGTTGAAGCGAGATCTTGACGCCCTGCTGAGCACAGTTTCTGCTCACACCTGGGGGCCGAGGCCGAAATCACCCGGATCCCATCAAGGTCCAGGAGTTGGGAGGTTTGGCGCGCTTTTTTTAGGCGTCTTTTTGGCCGAAGAATAACACACCAACTGCTTTTTGAGGTGTTGTTGAATGTGTTTTTGGAGGGTTTTGGCCATATTTGGTCTACCTCTTTTCCCGGATTCCTGGAGTGTAACTGATTGGGATAGAAACCCGTTGGCTCGCCGTTGGCTCGCCGTTTCCGACAGAGCAACTTCCGAAGATGGCACCTCCCCTACCCAAAAGGTGGATTCGGTTGACCTCCCTTCTAGTAGTAACAAGAAGCTAGTAGGAACAAGTGCCACGCTACTAGTAACAAGTGCCTTACTAGTAGTAACAAGAAGCTACTAGGAACAAGTGCCTTACTAGAGGAATCGATTCATGATCGGTCAGACCACCGGTGCCCGGGTGTGTTTTGACCCATGTTGACCCATAGCCATTTCCAAGTCACGAAGCGCCAGCAATGAGTTGAGGCCCAAGGAAGACACCCGTGAGCTGGGTGAGGTGTCTCCCAGGCCCAGCTCTGCCAAGGTCTGCAGTGGGAGATGGTCTCAAAATGCATGACCCCCCATCATAAATCATCGTCACTATCATCGTCATAAGGCATCATCAAAAGGTCAATTGGATGATTTATGATGACTTGGGGCCCAAACAACTGTGGACAGTCTGAACAAGTCTGAACCCTGCACGTTGCTGTCAATCTCCTGCCGTAAGGTTGTTTGATCTATGCATCATGCATCTACTCCAGCTCTGACAGCCGGAACACCATGGAAGAAGAAACCGTTTGTGTCTAGACTCTAGACTGTCTAGCTATTTCATCAAGTCACCCATCCCCCCCTCTCAAAACCTCAATGGCCTTCATCAAAACCTGCACTTGTCCTTCCAGTCCGCTCCACTCGCTCATGCGGGGCAGCACCACTCCCGGAACCACCTCGCCGTCGCTCACCACGGCGGGGTGAGCGACGGCGCGGCTCGCCAGGGCTTGGAGGTCGATCTTTCCGGAGCTGCTTCGGGGCCACCCAGCGATCCAGTGGAAGCTGGGGATCATGGCCCTCCAGAAGCAGGTCGTGTGAGGCGCCCAAAAGGCGAATGGGGCGGAGTGGATGGAGGCCAGGCATTGGAGCAGGCCCCAAGAAAGGAGTCCATGTGGTTCCATGCTGAGGTTATGTGTTTGTGGACAATGAGGAGTAGATTTGTCAAGCTAATGGATAGTCGGCAGCCAGAGCGGGTGTTAGGCTAGATTGATACCAAGCAGTCTTAGTGCAAAGACCAAAACCACTGAACCAGAAACATCAAGATAAAGGAGCTGAGTGGTGGACATCCAAGATCCCCACGCCTTGGCAGCAGCTTTGCACAGTGCAAGAGAGCCTGCTGGCACGTCTGCTCGCTCTGCTCGCATTTTCCGGAAACAAAGGCCACCAGTCTCTCCGCGACCAAAATCACGCGACAGGACTCCACCTCCGGGCATTCCAAGATCGCCTGTTCGATTTCGCCCAGCTCAATGCGTTGACCGTGGAGCTTGACCTGCTCGAAACTCGAATGGTTCAATAGACGTCTTCAAAACCCGTTCTTGCTGGTGACATCTGGTGAATTAATACCTGAAAAACCAACACATCAAGAGTCTTCCTCCCTTTTTGCTTCGTGTCTTTCTCCACCTGAGCATCGCTCCGCCCGCAAAAGCTCACACAGCCCAGCGTCCCGAGCTCGTCCAGCGCTCGAGCCGCCATGTCGCCGCTGCCGTAGCAGCGCCCCGCGCCGCGGAGGTTCTCAGCGAAGGGCCCGCGCCGGAGCGGCGAGGTCCTGGGGGATCTCTGGATCCGGAGAAAGGGATGAAAGGGGGTCCTTGTTGCTAGTAGCTTCTAGCTACTAGCAAGGGCATCGCTACTAGTAAGAAGGGCATTGCTACTAGTAACAAGGGCATTGCTACTAGTCGCAAATAGCTTCTAGTAGCTTCTATATACTATAGTAGCAATGGCCTCCAGCCTAATAGCGATGGCCTCCAAGCTTAGCTAGTAGCTTCTTGTTACTATATATAGAAAGGGATGGGAGGGACCACACTGGGACTGGGCGTGCACCTGGGTGAGGTGTTTGTTTGCTTTGTTTGAGATGTCTGGCGAAGCTTCTTGAACCTTCCGATCGACTCTGACCTGAAAAAGCCCGTGAACATGGCAAGTATGCTTTGCCAAGCTCAAATGGCTGGGGATCCACCGTCAAGGCATGCATGCTCAACAAAACAGGGGAGCCCGAAGCAACCCTCTCATTGAAGTGGATGGACCTTGAAGACGATCAGCCTCCTTTACCAGCTTCTAACTTGTGGGGAAGGAAGTAAAAACGCATCTCGTTCTTGCTCCAAGATTCGAGGTATAACCCAAAGCCAAGCCAGCACCAGCCAGAACGAGTTCTCCCTTTTCTAAGCCAAACCCTTGGATCCAGATCTGTCGAGAACCACTGGGCCAGCCAATGGGAACGGCTTCGACCTTGGAACACCTGGTTCCGTGACTCTTAAGGCTGAAGGGTCCCAAGAGGAGGGCGTTGATGGCACATTCAGTGGGACCATAGCGATTGTGCACCTGAACGTCCACTGGGTTCTCGGACTTCGACTGATTCCGTGCAGACTGGAAGAAGTCCAGCAAGGCTTTGGAAGCAAGTGCTTCTCCTCCACAGCCTAAATGTCTCAATGGTAAAGGAAAGGGCATCTCACACTCATTCATGAAAGATAGCACCGATGGCACTAGAGTGGTAAAGCTGATCTGTTGCTCGTAGAGGATTTGGCGAAGATGCTCCGGGTCGATCATGGGGTTCTCAGAGGTGATGATCAACTGCGCTCCACTGAGCAAGGCTCCAAAGAGTTGTGAATAGGCCATATCAAAGGTGAACGAACTGGTCAGAAGCACTTTGTCACCAGCCGTGAGCTTCAAGACCCGCAGGTATGGCATCAAATGTGACACCAACGCCTGCTGCGACACGACCACTCCCTTAGGCCTTCCCGTGGATCCAGAGGTGAACAGCACATACGCCGAACTCCGCGCGCGCGTACGCCGCCGCCGAGTAGGGCGGCGCAGGCGCCCGGTCGACCGGCTTCTGGCGGAGACCACGTGAAGCGGAAGGACCGGGTGAAAGGCGGAGGCCAAGAGGGCCGCCGGCTCCGCGGTGCTGGGCGTGGCCAAGAGCACAGCCACCTCTTGTTCCGCGGATGGGATGGGCTTTAAAGGAACATCAAAAGGGGGGCCTTCCTAAAGGGTGAGAACGACCTTGCAAATGGATGTGGTTCATTTGTGCAGTGGGTTTGAATAGTTCCTTACCTTTGAGCCACAGGAAAGGGTCACTGGCGCATGGCTCGCCACAGAAAGCCTGCTAAAACAAGGTAGCGAGGTTCCAGCAGGTTGAAGCCCCACATACTCCAAAAAAAACTTCAATCACCCTGAAGATCCTTTCAAAAGTGCATTTCAAAAGTCGAACATGTCAGGACATGGGGACTGTTAGGACATGTCAGCATTGTCCCTGTCATTCATGTACACTTCTCAATCTAGACACTTTTGTGGCTCTTGCCGCCCCAAGGCCCAATGTTCCACAAAACACCAAAAGAGATGAAATGGAGGAGGTCCCGGCTCCCGAGTGGACTATACGTGGACGTGGATTCCGACGACGTGGATCTTCCGGAAAACGTTGGAGGCGGCCGTGGATCACCAGTCCCTCCGCAGGCCGGCCTACCTACTTTGGACGAAAAATCTCATGTTTACCGAATCAAAGGACTGGACAACATGGACAGTCCTGTCCCGTCAGACAGCCACCAAACACCACTTAGTAGTTGCAAGATGTTGCAAGTAGCCGCTAGCCTGGCCTGAGCGTCTTGACTGATCCACTTCAGCCGCTCTGCTGGGAAGTCCGGCGACAAGGGTACGAACGCGCCCCCAGCCGTCAGCACAGCGAAGACCATCACTGGAAGGTCCAAGCCTCGTTCCGTTAGCAGCCCCACACGAAAGACGTCGAGCACGGGAGCTGCGGGAAAAGAACACGAGCCCGTCGGCGCACAGCTGGAGCCACTCGCGTCGTAGATCTTGATTAAAATCTCAGCCAACTCTTGAGATTCTTCCAGCAACTCCCGGTATGAGAGGCGTTGAGATGCTTCCACGCAAAGCACCGCTGTTTGCTGGGGTGTACGTTTGGCTTGTTGCTCCAAAAGATCTTCCAGTCGACATTCCGGCAAGGGAGGCGAAACGCTGGCTGTCCAATCATGCAGCACGGCGTGCCGCAGATCCCAAGGAGGTTCCCGCAAGCGCCACAAAGGCATACACAAAGCACCAGGTGTGTTCGAGGCCAGTCGCTCGGCCATGGCAGCCAAGTGCCGATCCAATAGCTTCACGAAACTGTGGGGTACAACCTTTCAGGGTTGGAACTAAGCAGCTGACAACCACATCAGCCAGAAACATCTATCAATGAGAGTTGTGTGGAGAAAGGGTTTCAAGAGTATCTGTTCCAAGAAATTGTCATTCCACTAGACTGCCAGGGAAAGCTCAATATGACACAATGTGGACCCCTGCCTCTGGCATGAACTCCCATCGGAGGCGACCACCCTGGTCATCCAAGATCGTGTGCAGGCTCACCTGGCTGGGTCCAGGTTGTAGTCCTTAATTATGATGTAAAACTTGTCTTTTTACTTCTGGATGTTGTGACCAGGACCAACACAACCTTTCAGAGGATCACCTGGTGGAAAATACCGGACTCTTCCCAGACTCGCTCTTCTGCCAGGTTGAGGCCGGGGTGCTTCATGTGTAAAGAAGACCCCAACCCGTCACCGTGAAGTCTACCGTCTACCAATGAGCCGTAGAACAAAGATATAGTTCCCTACTCGATCCAATTTATGCTGCGATCCATGCACAGGTTTATCTCCAAATGAGCAAAAGAACCAACAAATTACGGATGAATCTACCCCTTTGGTTCCAGCCCTAGAAAGAACGCCTCTCTCGGAACACACGGCGAATATAGATGTTCTGCGTCCGAGTCCGACTTTACTTACCAACCTTTCAGCGTGGTGACCTGCAATTCACAGGGTCTCCAGGATTCTAAGACAGTTTAACTCGATATATTCCTTTCTTTCTGGATGCTGCTCTTTCAACGTCTTGTCTCTTCACGTATATACGTACCATCGTTCCTCAGCCTGCCGTTTTTCAGGACCTACCATCCCCCACAACAAACCAGCCACAACAATAACCCCCTCCCGCCCACCACGAATCGGAAGACATGTCTAGGTGGCCTCCAGTCTGACGTCCGTCGGCGACGTCCCTCGACCGCGCCTCGAACTTGGCCAAGGCTGGCCATGTTCCAAAGTCAAATGGCTCCAACAACTCCGACGCCACGGTGACGTCATGGGTATGTTGGAAGAACGCTTGCAGACCACCCTGGTGGCCCTTCTCCTCGTTTTGGGGCGGAGGAACGAGGCGCGAACTTGGGAGGGGCACGAAGGTACCACTGTCTTAGCAAATATAGTTGGCAGATGTTGGCAGGCAATGTGTGAGTGTGTTGTTACTTGCTTGTACTAAAGCTAAGACCCGCTACTTACTGGGATCTAGCTACAAGTTCCCTGAAGCTAGACGGGTTTGACATAGCATTCTCCGTAAATCATCATAAATCAACATACACCATGTATATATATATATATATGTGATGTTGATGCAATATTATACTAGTTCAGCCTCTTGCCGCCAGCTCTGAAAGCCCACATTACCTTCTACTACTATACAATACAGGTGACAGGTCTCATCCCCCAAAAAGCCATTGACTATCAGCAACGCACCTGTCTTCCAAGCCATTGACTATCCGCTCATGGCGAATCAGGTGCCAAGTTGGCAGCACGACCATCTTCAACAACTGAAAACTCCCCCCAAATTGGAAGGCATTTTTGGTACATTGAACATTGCAGTGTTCTCACATGTCAAATCCTTATGATAAAGCAAGGGAACAATAAGTTTTGTGTGTGTGTTACGTCATGTCACAAACCATGCCCCACTCCGCCCGCAACGCCCCCACGGCAAAAACACCCGACCGCTCCTGTCTCAGGTCGGCTACCGCTTGAAAGGGCAGCGCCGAGTGTTCGATCGCCTCCAGCAAAGTCGCCTGCGTCCTCGCCGCGACGTAGAACCGGTGAAGAGGCCAATGCCGAACGTCCCACTGGACTTTTCCGTCATGTCTAGGAGTCTAGCAAAAGATCTGTTCAGACTGCGAAGCGAAGTCACCGTAGGACTGCGGACGTTCAAGGATAGACTGATAGACTGAAGGAGCCGGTTGGCATGTTGAATCCGGCGATTTTGGGGTCGAAACTTTGATGACCAACAAACGCGGTTCGGGATCATGGTGCATTAAGAAGTGTTCTGACGCTGACCATGCAGTCGACGTGTCGAGGAGTTGACCAATTGCCACCTGCGCTCACGAGTCGACACGCCAAGGAAGGAGTCTACACGCCGACGAGCCGACACGCCAAGCATTCGGCCAGACCAGGGGACGACCACACGTCGAAGAGCCGATTGCGCCGGCCACACGCCGAGGAGTTGACTGCGCCGACCACTTAGGCGTTCTTACCCGTTATACTTGGGCGTTCTTGCCCATTACTTAGGCGTTCTTGCCCGTGCCCCCCTCACTACAATCAGTAGTTGGGTGGACAACGGAATGGTAGCCTTTTAGGGGAGTGAGCGACATTAGTTTCAATAACTTTAGACTGGGGATTAGCATCAAGTGGCAGGCGGTTGTTTTCTCAAATTTGTTCATTCGAATTCTGGCTCTGCCGCCTGCATGTAAGAATGCATGTGATTGTGCCTCGGCGTTTTTGACCCTCGAGGCTGAGGCGTTCTTTGCAAAAGCGGGCTGAATTTTCTGCCTAAATGGCGTTGGGCGGAAATTATTGCCTAACGAGGTTCTAGGTATAGTTATAGGTGCCTTTAGATCCGAACAATCGCTGTCTGTCTGTTGCATATTTGAGCATGACTTTCTTCGGTCCTCTCCAGCAAGTCCTTGAAGGTCGCCTGTCAGCATTGAACACATGGGCCCTCAGCATTTACTGAGTGGGTGGGCAGGTTCATCCAACAAAAGCTTGACCAAACTGTGAGAAGATTGGCCATCTAATCGGCCTCGCCCCAGATCATTACCCTGCATTTCTGTCTTCGACCTGTGCATTTCCTCGGAATTCCGAACGAACGGACCCCGCCCAAACGGGTCGCGATAAACCGCCGTCGATTTCACGAAGCCCAGTGCGTTCGACGGGTTCGGCCCGGCCTGCGTTGGACAGCTGAGACGGATCGGCAACGTGTTCCTCGTTTCGGAGCCGGATGCCCGGAGCCGGATGGTGACGGATCGGAGATGTGATGTGGTAGTGGCCGGTGGCCCAGGTGAGGGAGACTGATGTCTTTTTGGTTGAGATGAAAAGGCAAATCCTTTTTGCAGAGTTGGAAAATCCAGGTATGATGGTTTGGGATGGTTAATTATGGAGACACCCAACCAGGTTTTGGCATGTTTTCGGTCTATGTTTGTTCTTCCAAGAAGGCTCTTTGGAGGTCCAGAATCAGAGCATGACATGGTCATTAGTGAAAATGAACAGAGATGACATTCTACCAAGAACTACAGCAATGTGGACGAATCGCTGCAACCATATATAGTTGGTTGATGTTGGTTGTAAAGTCTTGTAACTAACGCAGTGCCCCATCTCCTCCCTCTGACCTCTCCATCTGTAAACGGCCCAGGCGCACGAAGAAGCCGATGATGTCGTCCAGTTGAGGATCTCCACTACGACCAGCTTCCGGAATGCCCACCAGCAGGTCCTGTGGGCAGGTTCCATGGGCCAGCCTTCTTTCTACCCAGATGAGACCTTTGTATTCATGGGCCTCTCTTGTGATGCATTGGCCACATCGGTGAGACAATGGTGTGCTTGCTTCCGCGAACAGGCATGTTTGCTACTATATGTACTCTGTCGCCCTATCTACCCATCCAAAAAGGGAGGTTCGTCCCGGGATAAAAGTTCTACCCAGAAACGACCTTGTAGCAGGTCAAATGGATTGCGACTCATTGGTTACGTGCTGGTCAGCATAGCCCTGTTCTAATGCCCACCAAATCTGGCCATCAAATTCACCCGTAAGACTTCACACAAAGACGGTTTCTCAGGCCCCGAGGGGGCAAAGTCCTCGCCAAGGTGGATGCTCAGCAAAAGTCCAAACAAGGATAGCCTGGGATGGTCAGTTGGCGGGGGGAATAGGATGTGATCTCTCTTTCGTTGGAAAGGAATCACTTGGACCACAACCCTCTCACTGCTCAATTCCAGTTGAGAATTGTACAATGGCGGCTTTGGATATGTTTTTGAATGTTTTGCCTGCTTTGCTTCATGTTGTTCTGTATTCGCAGGGTGAATTTGATTTACATCGTTTAAGGTGAATTTGAAAAGTAGGCCGCAGAGACCCGTTCAGTCGTGCCTTGCATTCGCTATCTCGATGGAAACAAACATACCAAACAAATGAAACTCTTTGGCATTCATCAATCAAATCGTCAGGCGGCCTGTATATGTATTGAAGTGCTGGGTGATTTCTCCAACCCAAGGATATTGTTACTACTAGTTGCTTGTTACTAGAAGCGATGCCCTTGTTAGTACTAGCGTCCTTGTTACTACCTTCACTGATTTAGCTGGTCCGGAACTCGGCCGAAAGACTCCGTGGTGTTCTTCCACCCGAAGTGCTGCGCTGGCGTAGCGGCGTTGCTCGGGCTACGGGGTTCTCCCGGGGCACTCGCGCAGTAAAACACGTTAAAAGACTGATTGTTGTTGTTTTAGTTTTTGTCCCGGGGGTCGCCCATGTTTTGCCACCCGCGCGATAAACACAATAATAAAAACACATGTTTTGACCGTTTTTCCTGGACCACCTGCGGTAAAAACGGTAAACAGTGTTTTAACAGTGTTGCCGAATCTGGTAGGTATGTGTTAAACATGTAAGTAAGGTGCGAATATTGATTTTTTTGTAGTAACCGTTTTTCCCCAGTTGTCTTTTAAGGATCCGCGCGATCCAGTGTCTTTTGATTTCTTTGCGAGTTTTCTTCCGGGTGGCTTGGCTATTGTTATATGACACGTGCATTTGTTGTTTACTGTTTTGCACAGGCATCCTGCTTTTTCGTCCGACATGCGTGGAAAGATGCTTCAAAGAGATCCGGGGTCTGGCGACTTGCTTCTTTACCACAGGGCACTTAGTTTTAGAGCTGGAAATGTGTATTGTCTGTGCTGCGGTAGGGTGCGGCTTTGATTGTTAAGTTAAAACGACTATGTTGAGTTTTCTTATTTCGGGAAACCCGCGACGCAACCTTGTAAAGTGTGAATATGTGAAATCTCAGTCAAAAAGTGCTCAAATCACTCGGACGACTGCTTTTCTCAGAGCGGATGAGCGAGCTTGGTGTGAAACTCACATCATTTCCATCATTCACATATGTTGGCCTATGTGTTTTTACCACACGCGCGGTGGAAACGGTAACTACTTTACTTCGAGTGATCCCCACCATGACGTTTCAATAATTAACTTGCTTTCATGTCGTAGTGGGCAACGAACAGTCAAGCACAGTGACTCGCGCAGCAATAGTGTGTTTGTGATTGTGTTGTTGGTTGTGTATTGTGTTGGTGTTTGTGGTTGTGGTTTGTGCTTGCGTGTGGCTTTGTTGGTTGTGTATTATGTGTTGTGATTGTGTGTTTGTAGTTGTGTTTGTGATTGTTTTTGTGATTGTGTGTCAACTGTGGTTGTGTTTGTGATTGTGCTTCTGATTTTGTGATTGTAATTAATTGTGTGTGTGGCTTGTCTGCTCGTTTTTTTGCTGTGTAGTGTGTATTGTGTGTTTGTGGTTATGTTGTCTGGTTGTGTGTTGTGTGTTGAGGTCCGGCAGTGCCCACTGCGATCTCGCACTTGCGGTTGAGGTCAGGTAGGGCCCACTGCGATGGGGAGCTGTGGCGGTCGGGGAAAAAAATAGTGTTTTTTATGGTTTACCGTGTTTCCCAGAAAGTCGCCCTTTTTCATACCACACGCACGGTCAAAACGGTAAATTGATGTTTTGTTTAAATTTTCCTTTAGCACACGCAGTAAAAAGGGATATGTTCTTTGTTTACCCGTTTTTCCCGTGGGGGTCGCCCTTTAATTCATTTTAATTCTGAATATACTTACCACACGCGCGGTACAAGCGGTAAACATTGAAATATTATGTAATTTTTTCGTTTTGCCCAGGGGGATGGCCTTTATTTACCACGCGTGCGGTAAACACGGTAAACACGGTCAAATGGCCTTTTGTTCCTTTGTGTTTACATGTGTTTACCGTTTTCTTCTGCACGGACAGGAGCGGGTAGCCCTTAGAACAACGCACGCGAAGCGGCTTAGCAATTTGGCCCAACGATCTTCGAACTGTGCAGAGCCTTGATCTTCTGGGCACCACTCTATAAAGCGCCTCCCTCAAGAAAGGCTCCAAAGAAGGGCGACCATCCCAAACAAAAACGACCTCACCCAGCAGGAAAACAGCTTGATCCGAGCATCATCAGCACCATCTCGGAGCTTCCATGTCTTCGTGCCAGGGCCCTCAATGCACCACTCACAGGTGCAGGCCACGTTGAGATGACCTGAGACGACATGGATCTGCAGATGGGATGGGTCACAACGCACCCGACAAGGAGCGAGGAGCGATGCTGGGGTGTCCCACGGGCATTCCATCTAAGATATATGCACGAGGTAGCAGCCTGGACCTGCTTTTTTTCGGGACGTACGAAACTGGAATGTCAAAAGTGCGTAGTGTAGGGACTTGTCCAGGACGGAGACCGGTTCCAGCGCTGGAGTGTATCAAAGAGTATCATCTTGATTGGCCAGGAGTCACAAAGGAGTGCCGAACTTGGAGGATAGGTGCCCAGAACATCCACTCACTTAACGAAAAACTATCCCTTTGTGACCCTTGGGTGTTCTTGAAAAACATCTCCATGGCCCTCCTCCCGTCCAGTCACTGTGGCACCAGAGCTGCCGCTGTCGGTCACAAGTTGGGGCCAGGGACGATGCAGTGGTGCGCCTCGGTTGGAAGACAGTCCACGTCAGTCCACTTCCATCGGATGAGTGGTTTTATGAGTTTTCAGATGGTTTCATGGATGGTTTCATGGATGGTTTCATGAGTGGTTTCATCTCATTTAGCCTCTCTCACCTGATGAAGCAAAGAAAACTCCCGATCGATCTCAAAGGAGTTTCTCTCCCCGATGTCGGGCCAAACTCTTTGAGATCGCCGAAGAGCGACCGCAAACAGAGACCCGAGTTCAGATCGCCAGGTCAAGGTCTGCACAGGTTCTCTCTAGGCACTCTGCCACTGATCATTCATGTTACCATCTGATCCAGTGAAACGGCAGATTCCCTGACTTGGATGCTTGACGTTTCACAACGGCGCGATGCCAGAAGCCAAGAGACTCGAAACATCTTTATTGAAATATAGTAAAAACATGCTCCAACCCCATGAACATCTGGGTGCTTTCAGGACATGTTTGAAAAGCCGCTTCAACTTGTCCAACTCAACTTCCTGCCACCACAGGAGTTCTCCAGCCAGAGGCCACCTGGTTGTCCACACCAGATCAGGCGGAGGCACCGACCAGCTTCTTCCTCCAATATCTCAAGCAGCGTTCAGCTTCGCCCTCCTCCAACCATCTGCGATGCCACTGTGCGTAATCCACATAACGCCTCGTCGCGGAATTTGGGCCCTACAGCCGCTCGTGGCACCGAACGATGAGGCGCGGGGCTGTCTCCGGTCTCTGCACTCCATGTGTCGAAAAACGGATCGTTCGGGCTAGGCAGGTTTTCATTCGTGATCCAAGCTGGGTCGGATTGAATGATCAAATAAATTGTCTGTTACTAGTAGCAAGAATGCTACTTATATATAATATATATAATTATATATATATATAATAGTAATGGCCTCCACCCTAGCTAGCGATGGCCTCCACCGAGCATAGCGTCCGAGAAAGCTGAGTGGCCCCTACGCCTTGACCAGGCCGCATGGCAACAAGAATCTTGATGATAAGCCACAAAAAAAACACCAAAAAACTCCACCGAAACTGCCTCCTTCTAAAAGGTCCACCAAGGCTCGCCCTAGATCCTTCTTCCGGCATTTGCTTTCCCAGGAGGTCCATACAAAGCTCCTTCTCAAGAATCACCTGGGCGGACCAGATGGTCCCAGCTGGGCGGAGAAAAGAGCTCAGTGGGGGTTATGTCCTGACTTGGGACCAATATACCATACCCAACTTTGTAGTTTTATTTCGAGAGGTATCTCCTCTATTTTCATCAGCCAGCCAGTCATCCATGGGGCCAGGCCCATCCATTGCTCAGTCCGAGTCTAAGATGCCCAAGGAGCCTGTGATGCAGCATCAAAGGCGACGTGGTGAATGTTGAAGTACCTTGGCACTGCCCAGCCCAGCCCAGCCCTGCCGTAGCGTGAGCTTCTGACCGTTTCACCATCCAGTGGAGGTCTTCAGAAGGGCTTCGGTTTGGCCGCCCTGCCCAAGACAGCCAGAGATATCCATCCGCAGCCAAGCAGCAGCAAGAACTCCTCCTCGCCCACGGCAAATAGACGTGCCCTCATCACTCCACGATCCAGTTCAAAGCCTCGCTCTTGGGGCGCGCGGCGCGCGTTCACCTCTATCTGAATGCGATGTTGAAGTGGGTCTCATAAGCACAGGTGTGTTTCGGCCTCATTGGTGAGACCATCTTCGCGTGACCCACCGAGATCGGCGGGGGTCGGGCATCCTTATAGATCTTATAGGGGCCTCCCAAGGTCTGACCCTCTCGAAATCCATTTCGATCGAAAACGGACGATAGGGGACTTGAATGGTGAGATGTGAAGATCCTACCACCCCAAAACAAACAAAACATTGCAAAACATTGCAGAAACGCCTTCAATTCGACCGTCTTTTCTTGGTGATTGATTTTTCTCCCTAATTTGGATTGTAAAACCTCTTGAAGGGGGACACGCACGTACGGATTTCGGTCTGTCTCCGTGGCAACTCTGTCCCTTGACCCTTGGGGCCGGGTGCAGGTTGTCGTGTGTGTGACAAAGGAGCTGTATAGAGAAAAAAGGGGAGATTGGAACCCGCCTTGTGAAACCGAAAAGCATCGAGCATTGCATTGGCACGCTGCGTCATCCAGCTTCCAGGGAGGGATGGGAGAGTTTGATGATACACCCCCTGAAATCCTCATAGAAATGGAGTTCCCCGCGTCTTTGGTGCAGAAAATAGAAAGGTCGTCCAAACTCGAGGCCAAACCACCATTATCCTTCCACTGAGACCTCCCAGTGGCCCTTGGAATAGGGGCGACTTGTCAGGGACCCCGTGGAAAGAAGGAAAATATCTAAGATCAAAACACTGGTTGGGTGTCTCCATATTCAAATACAAACCCCATAACTCCCCTCACCGTCTCCCCCACCGCATCCTCCCTGGCCTTTCACCGCGTCCTCTCGCATCAACTCGGCCGCAGCGCTGGAGTCGGCCCGCTCCACCGAGAACCAGGGACACCTCGGCGAGGGTAGTGAAGTGGGCGAAGAAAGACTGGATTCAACAGCTAGGCTAGTCATGCGCTTCGTTTTTTTTGAAAAAAGGTGGGAAGCCTTGCACCAAGTACTGTTGGGGATGCTAGGGCCTGCAAAAACATCATTGCACAAAAAAAACATATTCAGACTTGCTGGGGCACAGGAAGTTGCGTGCTGCTAGCATGTCCAGTGGAATCTCCACATCCAACGGCAGAATCTCTTGCGACAGCTCCAGCTTGCCGTCTTGAGAGACTCCACCTCGCAGGCGAGGAACATGATGTAAACGGTTGATTAGAGTTAAACGAAAGAAGCCCTTTTAAGGTGTATATATATATATAGTTACATCTGCATCATAGGGAGCTTATTCATCAGCCGTCCACCTCATCCGCCTCATCCGCCCTACGCCCTACGCCAGGAGCTTCTCGGCACCGACCCGACCGACAGGACCTGGCTGGGAAGCACCAACAAAATAACGAAGCCTCTTCTGGGTGGGAATAGGATAGGAATCAATATCAGAGTCTGTTTTCTGGGTGCATAGGATTGCATGCCGCTATTGCACTCATTTTGGAGTTCGTTTTTGTTGGGGGTTGTTCACTCTCTGGCGTGCCCCTTCTGTGGTGCCCCAACGCCTAGTAGCACCGTCCTCAAGATCTCATGTCGCCGTAGCAACTTCACGATGGCTGCTGCCAGGTGCAAGTGGCTTACACCGGTCACGCGCCAGGCAAAGGGCACGTTGTAGCTGGGACCTGAAGCTCGGCGCCCCGCGTGGTGCCCCACGTGGTGTCACAGACAACTCGGAGCTGTTGGCACCCGCGGTGTTTGGGCTCGAGGAACATCGGAAAAGCGTACGGTGTCGTGGTCGTTTTGCCAAGAGGAGACGGACGTGATACGTGTTCGTTATGTTTCACCGTTTGCACTCCCCAGGGTCAATTCACCATGGTGACAGGTTCTACTCATTTCGCACCACTTCAAGTGAGATGGTGATGTTCCATCGCCTGGAAGAAGGTGCTGTTCCAGCCAGAGTCTTTCCTGTGCAAAGGATGCTGGAAGACCACCGCCATCATTTTCACGGCTGTGGCCACTCAAAAGCGGCGGCTTCTCCCGCGGCGAGTGATGGGAATCGGTGTGATTCTCCTGGTGCAGGGAGAACGCTCTTGGGGTGATGCGCAAGGAAATCCGGAGCAAAAAAAGAAAAGCAAAACGGCCCCTCCTCGGCTAAGAGTTTGGCCAAGCCGGCCACCGTCGGATGCTGAAAGACCTCCCGCAGCGACAGTCTTCGGCTGCCACGTCCGCGTTCGCTTCCGGTTTCCAGCACCCTCTGCAATTGCATCGCAGACAACGAGTGCCCACCCAATTCGAAGAAGTTCACATCCATGGACGGCATGGCATCCAGACCCAAGATCTCCTGGATCCATACAAAAAATGGCATCCAAACGGACGCACTTTGAGGCCACATACATGGGAAATGGGTGCCTGCTTCGACAGTCCTTGGAGCCATTAATATGGTTGCTCCACTTGGGCATTTAAGAGAAATGTCCAGGGAATAACGGAAAAACCATTTGGCCTCTCACTCATGTCTTTTATAAATCCACGGCAGGGTCTAAACTAGCCCTGAATCATGACAAAGTGGGGGCCATCTTGATTTATATATAAATATGAATCATGATTACCTGTCTCTTGCAGTCAAAACCCCACAGATTTCCACCAACTTGCCCCTCCCCAATCAGCTCCCCCCAAGGCACCTGAAATGCTGTCGCCACCCGGAGAACGATCTCCGTGTCTTCCGCTGCCGGAGGCTGCACGCTGCGCGCGGCCTCCCCTGCGGCGGCGCGCTGCGCGCGGCACGTGCGCCTCTGGCGTTGCAGCTGAGAACGGTCCAACTTGCCATTGGCACTCAAGGGCAGCTCGTCTAAGCCTCAGTTAGTTGGGGTTCCACTGGGGTCCAGGAGTTCACTCGCGAACGAGGTGATTGAACAGACCGGCCAATTTTGGCTGAGGAAAGAGTGGAACAGGCTGTTCCCCAGTGGGAGGATTTGCTGTGAGGCTGTGAAGCGTCTTCCAAAAAGCGAATTTACTTGTTTAAACCGTGTCAAAGTGTCAGAGAGAGGGCACATGAAAAAAAAGCAAAAGTCAATCCATTCATCCAGAAAACATGCAAGCTCAGGGATCATGTAGGAAGGCAACAAATCCCCCAAGCCTTCCTTGACTCGCTTCAGATCCGCTTCCGTCCCCACAAGGAAGCCCACCAGCTCAAGATCACTGTCCACGCCCGGCAATGCGAGGACCGCGGCCTGTCAGAAGACTGTCTCCGCTATTGGCCCACTTTGCACAGCTTCACAAAAAGCGCTCACCTGGTGTAGAAACTCTCATTTTTGTATGGAGGTCTTTAGTGGGAACTGGGGGAATCTGAGGGAATCTGACACACCAGGTGGTTGTTCAAAGGTGTCCATACGGGAAACTCCCAATTGACCATGCCGCCTGGCATGGTCTTTGAATCGTGAGTATTGAGCCATCTACCCTGAACTCACTATTTGTTCAAAGCCTTAAAGTGACCAGCTGACCCTAACCTGAGAGCAACTCATGATAGGCTAAGTCCAGGGCCCGACCGAGACCCAAGAATGAGCATGCACCACCTGCTCGGAAGACCCCCCCCTTTTCTTCCATCCCATTTAGGTCTTCCCCAACGCGTTCACTCGCTTTTCCAAGCGCTTGGGAACGCCTGCTCTTCTGTCCCCGCAACCCCCTGAACACCTCCCACCCACCCGCGCCTCGGCCCCCAGCTGTCGGATCACCTCTTCCACCTCGGTCACCTCCACACGAAAGCCACGGATCTTCACCTGCGGCCGGGTGCAGGGGTCTAACCGTCTAACCATGAGCCTTTCTGTTGGCGATCCTGGCCCCCTGTGTGCTCGCTGGTGTATTTGTCCGGCGCTGGTGGGGGAGGCTATGGGAGGCTCTGGCGAACTCCACTTCTGGGAAGAAGCTGAACATCTCCGGCCATCGCCGGAAAGCTCGAAGGGCTCTGGAAGTCAAACTCTAAGAGCTATGCAGCTCATGGATATCGGATGATTTCATCATATCTCATTTGCGGTCGCCGAAGGTAGCATATGGCCTTCGGTCGGATGATTTCCGAGCAACACTCACAACATCTCACAACGCATAATTCGACATAGACACTGTGTGATTTCCCATTATGATATACCAGTCTGGGTCAAAGGGAAACCAGGAAATTCCTCACTCAACGGAAGACTCTGTGGATCCGGATCTGAACACGCGGCGCGGCGTCCCGCTACCGTGATCTGTCGCCTCGCGGCGATGCACGAGTCGCGCACGAGTCGCGCACGAAGCGTCCGCCTGGGAATCACAACGTCCGAGGAACTCCAAAACCACTTCATCCTCAGCATCCAAACACTGTCAACGACCTGGTCATGCGTTGATCTTGGACTTTTTGAGGTTTCTTATTACCCAAGCATGTGGCGACAGCGCCCATGTGGTGTTCGTTTATATCCACGTGTACTGTACATTTGTATTATATTTGCAATACATGATACAAAAATAGTTATATAGTTCAAATGCTTCGGGGTGCTTAGCTTCATGTTCCTTCGTCCACTGCTCTGTCTTCAGGATGTGTGAAATAGCCTTAAATAGGCCAAAAACAGCTTTTGGGTCGACACCGCGGGTGTCGCGGGTGTCGCGGGTGTCGGCGGTCTTCCCTGAATCACATGAAATATATTTGCCACGGGCCCCTTGTCATCCTTTAAGGGGTGAGATGGGGTGAGACTACCAACATGACGCCATCCTGGTAGGCTCGTCGTTCAACAAGTCAGGCCAAACGCTGAATGTGGCGATGTGCCACATGAGGGAATCCACCAATGGACAGCCCAATGGCTTCAATGTGGGGGGTTCAGTGGGTTCGACCATTTTGAGGAACCCCAAAGTCTATCTGCAACAGAATCCTGTCTCGTCTTCAGTTCCAGACAAAATTGAAAAACATAAAAAAGTATCCAAACATCTCAGTTTAAGTGTTCCTTTTCTAGGGGTTCCCGAAAAAAACAACGGTCTGACCCCCCGGTCTGACCGGTCCGCTCTCGCTGCCCATGTGTTTCACCACCGTCCCAGCGGCGGCTCTCAGCGCGAGACGCCCGGAGGAGATGCGCGAGACGCCCCAGGGCTTCAGTGGCATGAAACGTACCACGTCGCCCGTGTGGTAGAGCCGGTCGTTGCGGCCCAGAGGGCGCCCATGGCGAAAGGGATTCGTCCGGAAACCTTGATCTTGGGACGTCGGATGGTGAGACATGGAGACATGGAGGGATCGGATCGATCAGGTGGAGGATGGGATGAGGGATTTCGAATGGTCTTTGTGTATCTGGATGTAGATGGATGTACCAGTTGAGGATGGATCAGTTGGTGACTGTATTGGATGTTACATTGCATATATGTAGCGTAAACGCTCCGAGCGGGTCAGTCCGGGACTTGGATCGTAGCTGAGCTTCTCAAGTGCCACTTTGAGGGCTCCAAGGGCCTCCAACATGCTCCGGTTCCGTTGGATTCCTCCGAGAGTAGTGGATTGAGAGGACCAATGGCACAGACCCCAAGTTCGGTGGTTTACTAGTAGACCCCCATCTGTCGAACGGACATCTTGATCTCGCCCTGAGCCCTCTGAAACCACCCAGCACCTTCCGACCTCGGGGTCACCTGGCTGGTTTCGCCCCAGCCCAAGGCTAGGGACCCTCCTCCGAAAGAAGGTCCAGGACTGTATGTATGTTTCACCTTCCTTCGCATCCAAGTGACGTTCCGCCGTGAGGTCGGGTCGTCCCACGTAGCCTTCGGCCACTCCCACCCCACCGATGTACAACTGCCCGGTCATCCCCAAGTGCACGGTCATCACGTCACTAGCGTCACTTAGGCAATAGTACTGATGATTCCAAATGGGCCGGCCATATGGAATCGAACGCCAAGCCGAGTCCACCTGATTGCTGGAACAGTGGCTAACAGTGGCTAAGAAGAATCGGCGAAGGGATCTGGTCAGATTTGGGATCAAAGTACGAATAAACTCACCTTTGATGTGTGAGTCTGAGTGTCTTTGTTTCGCCGACAGCATGCATCTCAAGTGTCCCACAATGAGCTTAGATGTTTACATCCGAACTCAGCCAGGAGTTGTCAGCACTGCACATCTTTGAGAAGAGTTGCCAAAACAACCACCCACTGCTTAGCCCACAAACAAACACTCGGCTTGCAGCATGTGTGGACCTTCCGAATCCGGCCTAGTCTCACAAAAACAAAAGAGCGAACTCCGAACTCCTAACTAACTACCAGATCTTGAACGCATCTTCTCCACTTCCCACCCCACACCTCCTCCACTTCGAAATAGTTCGACCAAACTGTGACCTCCGTAGCACCGCCCAGAGCCACCAGCTTCACATCGGGCTGCACAGCGCCCGATCTCGCACCAGCCAAGATCTTGCGTGCCAGCGCGAGGGGAATCCAATCCCCGCTGAGGAAGATCAACCGCAGCCCCTTCAGCGCTTCATCTAAGCCGGAAGCGTGAGAAGGCATCTGCCTCGCGACTCGAGATCCATCGCTCCCAGCATCAGAGGCAGCTGGAAGGCACTTGGACGACACCGCAACCTCCGGCGACCTCGGAGGAGTGTGCTTCGGGTTCTTCCTCCAAGTCCCTCCATCAAGGTCGCCCAGCGCGGAGAAGACTTGAGGTGCTGAGTTCCAGAAGGTGATCTTCTGCTCGGTGAGAATCTTCAACAACTTCTCTGGCAGATGGTTTCGTGCCATGTGGATGGTGCTGCCAGCGGCCAACGATCCAAACATGTCATAGCAGGAGAGGTCAAAGCCGATGGAAGTGACAAAGAGCAACGAGTCTTCTGAGGTGATCTGATAGGTGGAATTCCTCAATGTGTCCAGGTGGAAAAGCGAAGTTAGTAGTCTTCATCTGGGTTGTAGAAGTTTAGGATCGCTGGCCCCAAGGCAAAAACACACTCCTGTGCCCCTGTGCCAAAGTTGAACAATATCAAAGGAAAGCCATGAATGAAGATGAAGAAATGCTAAAGTATACAATCATAACTATAATCATACTGTACGTCTAATCATAGGCGGGTTCTTACAACCAACTTGTGAAGGTATTCACCACACCACTGCATCTACCACTCGTTTCAAGATTGTGGAGGTGTGAGCAGCGAAATGTGCCCCAGCCCCCACAGAGACTGCTAGACTCAACTTTGAAACTCACACAAAAGACACCCTTCGGCTGTCTGAATCTCTTGCAATTAGACGGTATGCCTAGCAAAAAACAGGAGTCAATGGCACCAACCCTAAGAGGTAGTTAAAATAGAACCCCCATCTGTCTAGGACATCATGAGGTCTGTGCCATCTACTGTACTAAAGATGGTTGTTCTGGTTACTCGGGGACCTCAACAAGATTCACTATCCAATAGGCCCAAGAATTGCTCCTACCATTCGGGGCGCCCCAGGGTAGCCAGGTCTGCTCAGCCCGTGTTGCCCTGAATAGAAGAGCCTCTCCTGGAGTGAAGAGTGCAGGACCAGTGCCGCGCTGCATGAGGATCTTTTTCCCCAAAAGTGTCCACGATCTTTTCGTCTCCATTTCTTCCAACTTGAGACTCCCGGAGAAAAAGAATATTTAAAAAAAACACTATCAGGTGGACAGTGGGGTGCCTCCTCTCCTCCAAGACCCGTTTGAAGGTCCCAACCCCTTCGGACCATCCCTTCCCTTCCGGTCCTTGGGCCCTTCCGGTCCCACGGTCCATCGATCACGTCCATGGCTCACCCAGTCCACGAGATGCACAATGGATCGGTGCGTCACTGCCACACCTTTCGGTTGGCCTGGCGGCTGCGCGACGTGGAAGACGGAGCGCTCGGCTCGGCTTGGTAGGGCGGCTGCGCGAGCGAGGGCGGGGCAAGTCTGTGTTGTTGCTTTCTTTAAAGGAAGATCTGGGCCGTTTGCATGGCTCTTTGTTATCTTTGTTGAGCAAACACAAATGGACAAGCTTGGCCAGAGGAAATTGCAAGGACTTCTGACTTCCAAGATATTCTCCACCAGAACAGCTACCTGTATATGAACTTGTTGTTGGGGAAGAGATGAAAACAGCCTGTTTCAGCACCAACTTTCAAACCCATGAACTGGTGCTATTCGGCGGGTGGAAAGGTATCCTTTCCAGGTGTCTATAGGTATTGGTCACGAAGGTATCCATTTCCATGTTTCTGATTTTGTTTGAACCAGAAATTGTGGTAGCATTCGCGATGGTGCTTCAAGTGATCATCAAGGGTGCCTTACTGCCTTACATGTTGCTTGTGTTGCTATGTTTTGTTGCTGTCTTTGGTCCAAAGCACGGTGTGCTCTCCAATAGACACGGCCCCACTGCCCAACCTTCATACCTTCATACCTTCATCCGCCTTTCCTAGGGTTTCTGGCAGCTCCATCCAGCCCCCTCAATCCGATCCGAGGATGCCTGTGGAACCTGAGGTGAAAATCACATAGGCTGTGCTGTCCTCGGATGCCCTTGGATGGCACCAATCATCCCCATCTGCCAAGCCGTCCTGGCACAGCCGTTCCGCCGTACCGGGTACGGATAGAGGTGGACCTCCGTTCTAGTCTGTGCACATCGGATTTCTGAAGGTGTGTTTTGATGCCTCTGGAGTTGGTTGATATGCTGAAAGCAGAAGTAGTTCGATGTTGACACTTGGAAGTTTAAGGTTGAGTTTTGTGTCCTTCCGGTATCAAAATGAAATCTAGCATGAATCAAAGGCGGTCCTGGTCCTCGAAAAGCTCTTCAGCAGTCGTGATCAACAACTCTTCGTTCAAACCATCAGGTATGCCTCGGAGTTGGTGTTCTCCTCATCACAGGAAAAATACTCTCATGTTCGCATTCTTTGGAAGCAACGCTCCAACGGGGCGCCTTCGATCTGAGGCCTGGAACACCAACCCAGCATCAAGAAGCCAATCACCAAGAGCAAAGCATGCCCAAAAGCACTCCCAAAAGCACCACAAGGCAGGAGGCCTTCCAAGTCATCTAATTCACAGCCCGGATACGACCTGATGATAAGGCACTCAACATGAACAGTTATTAATATATCTTTAATATGGCTGTTAATGGACACAAGGCGGTCAAAACGTTTAAAGCCAAGAACCTGGGTGGAAAGACCAACTCTCCATTTTCACTTCACCATCCCCAACAAACCTGAAGCATGATGGATGAAACTGATGAAACAAAAGACACTTCCGTCCGGACCGTCTGGACCGTCGTCCTGCCACCAACACCTTCACCGCCGCCAAGGAGACCATGTTGGCCACGCGCCCCCAAGGCAGCCGCTCATCACAGGGAACATAAATGCCGCCGGTCTCCAAAATGGCCAATGCGGTGATCACCACCTTGGGAAGACTAAATCCTCGTGGTCGGAACGAAGAAAGAGCAAGAATGAGGTCGGACTTAGTGACTAAGCAGGTCGAGGTCGTTGTTCTCTGGGCGATCTCGAGTTTGGGAACCTCCAGGAGGTCCTGCTTTTGTAACCGCATGGATTCACGTCTATCTGATCAGCAAACCAGTAAGGTTAAATCCTCACTCACCCACGTCAAGAACGTCCTCATCACATCACGTCCCCGAGACCCTCCTCGTCCCTGGGCACCCGGACCCATCGACTCTTTGGCATCCACACGGCGCACGCTGCGCCCGGAACGCCGGCGGAACCCGGAGCGGCGCGTTCCGCGGCGCGGGTTCCGCACCGTCGGAGGCCACGGGCCATCTGATGACTTTGCTCGGCCAAGTCCTGCGCAGCCGGGGAGAACAATGGCCGAGCTCTGAGGTATCGCAAAAGGGAAGGAGGACATAGGCTTATAGGAACATACCGATCTATAGAGACTTAGTAACTTAGATGATGTCGCCCTACATACCGTTTTGCTCCTTCTTTGTCACGCACCGATTTTCCGAGGATGACGGATGCGAGGAAGACGTGACGGTCTCTCGCTACGACGGGCACGACTGCACGAGCGCACGTCGGTCGCTACATGGAAGAGGCTCATGGATGGGTCACCCATCCCCAAATGATCGGAGCTTCTCTGACCTCGGACCGCCAGGTGTATCCATGTATCCTGGTAGCTCATTCGATGGTATTCCTCGCCCTCGTCGTCGTAACACACCAGCGCGGGATGCGCTTTGCAGGCTGCTGCACGTTGATAGAAGAGTTCGTGGAGCAAACGTCCTCGAAAGCGATGCTATGAATGAAGGCATTCTTGGCTCAGTGCCGGTGAGGATGAAAGAGTGTAAACATCCTCGAGTAGACTGATATCAACCACAAAAATCTTCCCAAACCTAGTTCTGACTGGCAACACTTTAAGCAAAGAACTAGTATATGAACTGGTCAAACAGGTTGATAGCCTCAGTTTCCTAGCAGTGAAGATTCACTGAATGCCAAAATGTCACACGCGTACTCACACGAGTCTTTGAGGGCCCATGTCATTGAAGAAAAACCGTTGATGAATCTGTAGCAGGGACCCCCTGTCGGGGTGTCTAATAATAGCACAAGAAAGAAATTAAGGGGTCTCCATTAACCACCCGAACCGAGAGCCCCTGGTATGAGATCAAAGAATTGGGGTGATCAATGGATTGGACCCATCTCCTGACTTTTGGTCATTGATGAGTCGAGGCCTGACCTCTGTCGGCATCACATGGTCCCATCCGGGCGGGTTTTCCTATCTGCCGAACCGCGCCACGTTGTGGAAAAACAGGACTTCTGGAATAGGACATTCTGCAGGTGAGGTAACACACGTACCAATGGGTGACAGGGGTACTTTTTCTTGCTATCGAATAGAACAAAGAAATGGCACTTCAGAGAAGTTCCAAAATGAATCAAAATGAACATAATCTTTTTAGGTAGGTTGTATCATGTTGTATCAAAAACTCATGCAAAAACGGGTGTCCCAGTCCAGTATCCAAAAACGCTTGATGTTTCACAACGTTCACCACGGCTTCCCCGTTGTTTTCAGCTCCAGCTTCCTTGGTTTGTCCATGGCTTTGAGGTCGCGTTGAACTCCTCGGCCCGCGAGTTGAGAGACCCAAACGAGAAGACGAAGACACCATACCAAATGGGGACTGCTAAGTGCGATATATCATATCACTAATTATTTGGTTACCTATGGTTACCTGTACATTTTAATTAAGGCTTGAAAGAATTCTTTCTGGTCGTCCTTGCAATCTTTTGGACTGAAACATCCTGAACAAGCCAACAAAAAGCCATTGCAAGGCATTGCCATTGCTGAGAACAAAACCGTCCCCGAGTTGAGGTTCAACATTGATCACCTTCAAAGCCCATTGAGGTTCGTGTGCCATTTCACCCACCCGCATGGAAGGCGAAAAAACCTCACGGACCCTTGTTGGATATAATTTTCTTCTTTGTCAAGGACCTTGGGAGACGGTTGAAGGTTGAGGCAAAAAGCACCGAAAAGGGCAACCAAAAACACTGGTGCCGTCCTACTCTTCATGAAGCTCGTCGTCTCTCTGGTCAGAGAAGAAAGTCATGAGGCTGGTCCCATCATGTGCAAATAAAACGAGAAGAACTTTACAAAACTTTTTAACAGAGACTGCTTGCAGCTCTCCAAAGTTCGGAGCAAGTTGCTTCAATCAAAAGCTGCTTCACACTTGGAGGCGGAAATGTCTCACCTGCATGTGTGGACGGTGTCGTGGGAGTGGTCGCTTGGACGGCGTCGCCATGGGGGCAGACTCTGATATTGCTTCTTGGCAAGTCACTCGACTCATGGACGCCATGGGACACTCATCCCCTAAAGTAGTCCCATCATATCCCCTTCCACAGTGGTCCTCTCTTCCACAGCCGCTGTCCTCGATGCACAGTGCGCCTTGCAAGCAGCTGAGCAGAAGCGCCCCAAAGTTCTCGTCTTCACCGTAGAGCCACACCTGCGAGGGTTCACCGTTTCGCACTCAAGGCGCAACCGGTCAATGTGTGTGGTCAATGTCTGGTGATCCCAACGGCTATAACCACCTGGAGACTGGAGGGGCTGGATGTTTCTGGCCTCTGAAGGCTTGCTTGCATGTTTCGCTGCACCCTTTTTGCTTTAGGTTCTGACATGTTGCAAGAGATAGGACATGATAAGGACACTCTTTCCCCCAAAGCAGACCGAAATCAAGCATCCACAAGCATCCTCAGTTCTTTGCTTTGAGGATTGAGCAGGGAGATATTAGTTGAGACACACTGTGGGCCATGTCGATGCCACCGTCCGTCGGTACGACATCGCAGCGCGGTGAAGGGCCCGGCCCGGTCAGCCCGATTTCCCGCCCGTTTTCGGCCAAGCAGCCATCAGGGTTGTACAAATCATCATAGGGGGAGTACCACAGAACTGCTGCAGTGAACTGTACATCATGGTACTCTTTTGTCAAACGTTCAGGGTTGCTGCTGTGGTTCTGCACCTCCCCCTCCACACCTCACTGGAGGACCACACATAGCCGATGAAGACCTCTACATCTTCCAGCCACTTACCACGCTCTCCCAGGAAGATCAAAGGTCTGCACCCATGGCCTTGACGACAGCTGCAAGTTGGCTCATTGGACGCGGAACTTTCGGTGATTCTGACCCAGTTCATCCAAACTGCTTAGGAGTTGCAAGCGAGTCTGTCACTTGGACCAGCACTCACCGTGAGTGGATCAGCACTCACCCCTGCACCCACGGACCTGCACCCCTCTTCTCCAAGACCTCACCCCTGATCCCCTCACATCAAGCGGATCCCACCGACCTCTCTCCCGATCCCACCGACCTAGAACCGGTACAACTTCACCCGTTCAGGTTGCCCGCCCGCCTGATCTGCTAGGCCTCAGAGATGAGCGATTGGTCCGAGGAAAGGGCATGTTCTCAATCGTTGTGGTTTCTGCATATTCTGTCAGTTGCATGAATTTGTTGATTTTCTCGTTATGACATGCATTCTCTTCGCTGAATCTGAAACTGCTGATTGCATCCAAGCCACATCAAATCCAACTTTCTCCGCCAAACCTTCAAGGCTTCCAAGAGGCAGTTTCCTCTTCCACTGGCCTTCACCACATCAGCACTTGGCTGGATGCTCTCCTTTCCGTCACCTGGCTGCAGCCAGCTGCTGTTTAACTGTTTGGAGGGCCAAAAGATGCCAAAAGACAGTTTGTCAGCTGCCCATTGCAGCCCACCTGTGAAAAACACTGCTTTGAAAAGGCCTCTTTGGACCTTTGTTGGTTCTTTGAGGCCAAAATATCGTGCCAATCATGGACCAACGGTGATTCCAAGGACCAACATGGACCAACCGAGAGGACGGCGCTTCTTCTTCGTCTCCCGATCTCTCACTCCCTCCGCCGGAGCACGATCCACTCGCAAAGGGAGAGGCCCTGAAAGACCCAAAGCTTCAGCCAGGAGCGATGACTGCACCACCACCGTCACCTCGCAGCAGCTTCTTCCGAGGTGAAAACGCGGCGAAGTCATCTTTTTGAAGAACTCTTCAGGTGGCAAAGAAGTTTAAGAACTTCTTGAAGTTGAAGAAGAAAGTTGTTTCTTGTCACTTTTTTCAAATACCAAGTTGAAGCAGAAGTGCTGGAGACTCTCCGTACTTGTTCACTCCTTGCTCTGGTCTCCGTCACCTGAAGATCTTTGGGGTGTTTTTTCTTGACCCAAGGGCCTGTACTCGATGGAAACCACAGGGTCCTCGGAGTCCACACTGGACGTCCACACGGTCCGGTCGGGATGACCATGCAGCCATCCAGCTGCCCCAGTCTTCGCCATGTCACTGCTTCCGCCTGTGCTAGGCGACTGAAGCTTTGGCCCAGATTCTTGGCAGCTTCGAAGACATCGCCTGTGGGCCCAAGATAAAAGTCTTTACCCCCGCTTTGAGCCAGATTGACCCACCATGTTTGGGAATTGTGATGAGGCGCCCTACATGGGCTACATTGCAGAATCTGACGATTTCGCCATTTCACACGCACGTGTACACACATATACCACAATTGAACAGAACATTAGGAACAAATCATGCTGGAAGCAGATTTCTTGGATCTCTATTTTTGTGAGGTACCCGAACGCGACAAACCGGTGCAGTGCTTGGGCGGGTAGGCCCTACATATGCAGATCTGCTACGGAAAGAGGGCCGAGGGCCTCGGGTGTTGAAATCCCACCGAATTCAGCTTTCTCCCTCTTCCAATGGCGGATAAACTAGATGCTGGAAGATGTTCAAAATGAAGGATAAAAAGAGTTAGAAACAACATCTTCAGCTTTCAACTCCACCGCATTTTCCAACTCCAACGGTCCAGTCGCTTTCTTTGACCCGGTCACCGACAGGGTCCCTGCCTACATCTTGGGGCACGAAATCCGAGAGCTTGACCTGCAGTTGAAAGGTCTACCGACCTAGTCGACTGGAGTTCTTTGTCTACCTGGTCTATACCTGTCTATCTGCTATGGTCTATTTACAACTCAACTTTTGCGGGTGAACCGCAGATCTGACATCACTAGTCTTCAAATGTTTTCAAGCCAACCTCTCTTCAACATGCGAGGTCTGGACATTTTGGGAAATCCCAGGAATCAGAAAGCTTGACCACAGAGTTATCCACAAAGTCCAACTTTTTCCCAGGTGTCTCCAACTTTCTCAAAGGTCTCTGGTCAGACCTTCTCAATCCAACTTGATCCAATGGTCACCGGCGTCAAATGGACCCATGCAAGCTGAGCTTGCAGTCACCAGGGGCTTTACAATGGGTAAAACTGGAAGAACACCCGCCATGCTCGGTTAAGCTATAGTTTTACGTTCTCAGGGTTTCAGACTGAGATCCCACCGTTGGATTCTTCATCTTTGTTAACCGGACCACTTCAGGGGTGTCTTCTGCTAGACATGGAACCTCCACAAACGCAAGCAGAGATCTCCCAGTACTTTAATAATAGCCCAAAATAGAAAGCTTTATTGTTGCTAGTAGCGATGGCCTCCAACCTACCTAGCGATACTAGCGATGGCCTCCAACCTACTAGCGATGGCCTCCAAACCTAAGCGCGATGGCCTCCAACCTACTAGCGATGGCCTCCAACCTACTAGGGATGGCCTCCAACCTACTAGGGATGGCCTCCAACTTAAGAGCGATGGCCTCCAACCTACTAGCGATGGCCAACAACCTAATGTTGGATGCTGATTAGCAATAGGGCCCTCTAATGCTAAATGCTTGGAAAAATAGTTCTTGACACCATGTTTGTTTTAAAGGGTTCTCTATTATGCTAACTTGTTGGGGGATTCTAATTGTATATAATCTGAAAAATGAGAGTTTCAATTCCTGCGGAGATCTGTGAATACTATTAAGCCAATAGCTGGCTTGCTGAGAGTATTATTGGTAATCATGGGTTTCTTTTGTTCTTCAAAACTCACAACTCCCCAAAATCATCATTAGTAGACCAGGAAGGCCCCTGATCCTCTGTAATAATTTTGCTTTAAGGCTGATTCTCAACTGTGCAAAGTTTTTCATCAGAAAACAAAATCTAAAACTTAACACTACTAAGCCAATGGCTGGCTTGCTGCGAGTGTGTTTGGTAATTATAGATTTCTTTAGCTCTTTAAACCTCACAGCTTCCCAAAGCCTTCAATTCCTTAATCAAACCTTTATGTAAAGATTGCTCCTAAACAAATTTCAAGGTAGTCGTCCTCAAGATCTGCTGAAGATCTGAGACTGCAAAGGAAAAGGATTGCTGAGAATATCTAATTAGAAAGAACCTCAGAAAGGAAATGCATACTACGAGTACAATCAACTACAAAAGAAATCCTCCCAGGAACCCAGATTTGTTTTGGTGGTAGTTTATTAAAGAGGTCTCACCATTTGTTTGGTGGAGGGGCACCCCCCTTTACTAATCAAGATCCAACATTACTAGCGATGGCCTCCAACCTAAGAGCGATGGCCTCCACCTAGTAGCTTCTAGTTCTCCAAACCGCACTTTTCCCAGCGGTTGCTTTTTCGTTCGGACCTGGAAGCGTGAGCTCCGCGCCCGCGGTACCACCAAGGGAAGCGGCGCGTCCATCGCCTCCGGGTCACGCGGGTGGACAAGTGCAGCATCACTCGGGTTTCGACCAGGCGATTTTTGGTGGAGTGCGGTTGGAAACACCACAAAAAAAGCGTGAAGTGTCCCATCAGTCACATCTGAGCCAAGCTGAAAACCTTGATAGATTCCTATGTCGTAAGAACTGCCTTACGCGAAAACTTACGCCGCGCTTACGCGACCGCAGTTTCAGCTTACGCGGGGGTGTTGCTTACGCCGCTGCTTATGCCACCTTACGCCATTGCAGGCTTTGCTTACGCAGCATCGATATGACATAACCTGGAAATGTCTGGCTTACGCCAAAGCTTACGCAGAGCTTACGCGACCGCAGTTTTAGCTTACGCGGGGGAGGTTTTCAGCATGGCTCATCTGGGACCAAAAAGGTTGCCCTCATACAGGTCAGTGTAGTTGGTGGCCACAGTGTGATACGCGGAATGCTCGATCTGATCATTCGAGTTGGAGTGTTTGAGAGCGGTTTTGTCCAGGTGGAAGTGGATCATGAATAACATGGGTAAGCACCCATGCCCTCTGCCAAGAGTTTTTGCTGCCACTGTTTCATGCAAATATCAAGAAGGAATTGCCCCTAAGGCCCAACGGCATCACATGCACTGCCCATAATTGTGCAGTCAATTGATGACAAGTCTTATAATGTCATTGTATCTTCTCATTCAACTGGTTGTGGAAGAGTCGTTTCAACCGAACAAACGATCCCAACTCAAACTCAGCTGAGCGGCAGCATCTTTTGGTTACTAAACGCAAAAACACCTAAAAGCACAATCAATCTGTGCAGGCCCTATCTCGTTCAGACGACTTTAGCGTCATCCAAAAAAAGGAGCCCTGTCTCATGTGGGAGCCCTATCTCGCTCACTAGCAAAATACTGATGTTGGACAAACAACCTTAAGTAGAGCATGCCATAGACGCCGTAGACTACACTAGTCAAGACAAAATAAAAAAGTGCTTGCTCAGCTGGAGGTCATGGCTAGTACGGTGGAGGCCATTGCTAGTAGGGTGGAGGCCATTGCCTGTAGGGTAGTCAGGCCATTGCTAATAGGGTGAAGGCCATTGCTAGTAGGGTGGAGGCCATTGCTAGTAGGGTGAAGGCCATTGCTAGTAGGGTGGAGGCCATTGCCTGTAGGGTAGTCAGGCCATTGCTAGTAGGGTGGAGGCCATTGCTAGTAGGGTGGAGGCCATTGCCTGTAGGGTAGTCAGGCCATTGCTAGTAGGGTGGGGGCCATTGCCAGTAGGCTGGAGGCCATTGCTAGTAGGGTTGAGGCCATTGCCAGTAGGGTGGAGGCCATTGCTAGTAGGGTGGAGGCCATTGCTGGTAGGGTTGAGGCCATTGCTAGTAGGGTGGAGGCCATTGCTAGTAGGGTGGAGGCCATTGCTAGTCAGCTGGAGGCCATTGCCAGTAGGGTGGAGGCCATTGCTACTGGGGTGGAGGCCATTGCTAGTAGGGTGGAGGCCATTGCCAGTAGGGTGGAGGCCATTGCTAGTAGGGTGGAGGCCATTGCTAGTAGGGTGGGGGCCATTGCCAGTAGGGTGGAGGCCATTGCTAGTAGGGTGAAGGCCATTGCTAGTAGGGTGGAGGCCATTGCTAGTAGGGTGGAGGCC